CTTCAAAAGAACACAAAAGCTATCATCATGGCTGCCAGGACCTCCTGATTATTATTTGGGCTATGTGGACAATCCTCCCCAACCCCAATCTACAAACCAGAGTGCAATGGCCCCCTATGCCTGATGTATAAAAGAATTGTTTTGGCAAGGAGTGATCACTTTAGTGATTATTATTTATGATTTGTTTAGTGATGTATGGAGGGATTATCTCGCTGAGTAGTTTGAGGGTACAGTGCCCCATGGTAAGGAAGCCATGACTGTAGGAGTTTGTGAGCACTGTTTCACCTTGTGTCTGTAGTCAGGATGCAGACAGGTAAACGCTGGTGCCCAGCTTATTGTCTCTTTTTTATCCACCTCAGATTCCAGATCATAGGATGGTGTTGGCCACATTCAGCGGGTCTTCTTTCTGTTACACTTCTTTGGAAGACAAGCCCAGAGGTGTGTTTTCTAGGTGATCCTAAACCCTGTCACATTGACCATGAAGTTCAACTATAGGAGGTGAATATTCAAATCTCACTAGGCATCTTCTTTTGCTGTGCTAAACTTTCTTTAAAGAGGTAGGCTGTTGTGGGAATTCTATCTGACAGCCAATTGTATTGGGGTGGCTTGGCCCAATAGGTATAGTCTGGAGGTACATGACCCGAATAACCCGAATAAAAGGCCAGGGCAGGGCAAAGGATGCTTTCGTTGGACTGCGGAGGGCCCACTGCCAACAGCAACTTGGTGACCTTCCCCGGGCCTCCCTGATCACCTTTGGGAGTGAGAGGCTCAGTAGCTAAAACAACAGCAACTCCGCAGCCTGATTCTATTTCCTTTATATACTGCACCTGTTTGATAAACCTGACTTAATCACAGAGATGCCTCCTTCATTAGTAGGCTCTCTTTGATTTCTACAGGAGAGGGGATCCCTCTAAGGACAGATTGGACCACCGAGGCAAAGGATGTGAGGAGATACTGGCAGAATGAGGATGGGGAGAAAAGCTTTGGGAAAGTACCAGAGGTGAGTTAGGTAAGGTAGATACCTCTCAGGGATTTCTTCTGCTCTGCAAGAAGATAGACTAAGGCTTAGGATCAAGATCCCATTTGGTATCCAGAAGCATCGCAGAAGTGTGAGCTCTAAAGTCCCAGCTTTGGCTGTCTGGTCTTCCTCTACAGTTGACATACTCACCTCCTCCCACACCCCAGAAACCACAATAGCTGTTTTGGAGAAAAACACTGTGTTAGCATCTGAGGTGGTTTCCTGAGATGGCTATTTCTGGACACTGTGCTGGGTTGACTCAGGACCTGGATGTTTCCTAAAGGCAAATGATAGGTGTTGAGAGCCTCTCAGAGTTCCCTGTGGAGGGTTACATAAGTATGTGTGATGCTGAGTATGTATCTAAAAGGCTGGAGCAATAGGTTGTATAGAACAGCATTGGGTCAGCCCCTCAGCTTCCAGACAAGGCTTGGGATGGGTGGTAGGGCTGAACTACTTCATCCTAATCTTCAGGAAGAGCTGGGTACTTGAAGGCAGGTGGTCCAGGGTAAGAAGATAGAGTGGCATGATGAAGCTTACAGGAAAGATTTGGTATTTTTGGAAAGATCTTTTACACATTTATGATTTCACAGGAAAGGAGACAAACTGATTCCCAGAGGGGAAAAACACTTGCCTAAGTGTTTGTTGTAAGCGATCATGGCAGTTGATTGAGAATTGATGGTGGAGATGAGAATCGTTCCCAGGTCCTTTAGCCTCCAGACGAAATGTACTAATAATATATAAATGTAAGAAATCACCCTTGAAACAAACAACTTAGAATCACAAACAGTATATCATAGTTTCTGAGATCAAGAACATGGGTGTGTTTTGGTTGGGTCCTCTGGCTCTGGCATCTCTTGATGCTAGGTCAGGTGGCATGCTCATTTGGAGGCTCAAGTAGAGTCATCTACCTCTGAGTTCGTTGAATAAGCTTTCTTGTCAGAATTCTGTTCCTCTCATCTACTGGACCAAGATTTTATATTTCTCGCAGGCTGAGGTCAGACATTCTCTAGCTCCTTGCCATGTGTTACTTTTCACATGGCAACCCACACAGAATAAGTAAAGAGTAGGAGAAGTGTGCAAGACAGAAGCTCAAGTGTTTTCCTGAACAGGCCATCTCTTTTGCTGTATCTCGCTTACTGAGGCAACCTCTTAGGAGTGACCCATGACCCAAGTTCTTTCCGGCCTTATCTGCTCCTTCTTATGCATTGTAGTAGAAAAGGCAGTGGCAGACACCTCTGTGGGGGAAAAAAAACATGATTACTTTCTGTGGAGAAAACACCATTACTCTCAGGGAAGGAAAAACACAGTGGGGTAAAGGACAGTTTACCTCCAGGAAGAAGTGATATCAGTTAATATTCACCTATTCCCCCCCCCCCCACCAAACAACTCCCTTTCCTCTTCCTGCTGTCCCTTGGATATCATTGGCTGGTTGCTTGAAGTGTCTATTCTCTATCTTCCCCAGATCTTTAACCTGAAGCAAGCCCTTCAGTTTTGCTCTGCCTGAGCTTTGAAAGACACTCCATCCTTTCCAAAGATATTTTTCACCTTGTACACCTCACTCTTCAGTTATGATCTGCTTTCTCCAACAGTTACAAGGTGGCTGTGTTTGTTACATGTAATTTGTTTGTGTTCATACAAATTAGCCGATAAATAAACACATTTAACAAATACTTATCCAGTCATGGTAGTCTTTACGGCGTGAATGCTGACATTTGCCTCATTAAGAAACCAAAGAGATTGGTCCCTAGCTTCATAAAGCTTCCAGTCAGTCCTACAAAAGACTCTCCACTGTGTAAAAGAGCTTTCTAGTAGAATAAAAGGAGATCTGACCCATCCAGTGGGACTAACAGGGGAGAGGTAGTTATCTGGTACCCTTGTCTACCAACAGTACTCTGCCAGAGTTAGGGCTATAGTGAGCCCAGTCAGTGTCCTCTCCACTTAACACACTGAACCCTAGACCCTAAGACTGGAGTAGAAATCTTGGGACTGTGAAGTTCTTTTCCACTGCAATGTTTGTTCCATGGGGGAACAAAATACACAAGGTCTCTTGTCATGAGAATCCCCTCCATTCACTTAGTGCATTTTATTGAGCAACTGTTAAATGCACCAAGTACAAAACATCATATTAGCTTTTCCCAGGGGGAACATTCGCGATCAGGCTCTGTTCACCTTAGGGGTTAATAACCTCTTTCAATGTAAGCACTAGAATGTGGAGCAATGGCCTTTCACTGTTTATGGAATAATGGCTCTTCTCTGAAGCTGTAAATATGGTCTGTGTACAATCAACAAACCTGATTCAGTGGAGAGGATGTTTTCCCAATCTGAGAGGTCCTATCATGTGTCCAGGGAAGCTGTGCTCCATTAGGGCCATTGAGACAGATCCCTGTAATTTTAATGCTGCTTTCATCCTTGGTTAAACTGTGGTGGACATTGCATGGGGATGAACTGCAGAAATGTCTTTACTCTCCAGTGATCCAGTGAAAACCACAGAAGCCAAGTGAACCTTTGTCTACTGTTCTACAGGGTTGGATGTAGTTTGTTCTACACAGGGAGATGGAGACCATGGGCCTCTTGAGAGTTACATGATGCTTTGAAGGTCTGCTAACACTGTAACTTTGAAAAGATACTAACTGAAAGATGAAGAGACGTTTCTGTTTTTCCAAGTCTTTGCCCACACCTGTCTCCCTCTTATGAGTGCCTCTACCCACCTGCCCTTGCAACACAGCCCAGGCACCATGCCAGCTTTTCTTAGATGAAATTGAGGCCAGCCTATCACTGTTCCCACAGCCAGAGGCCCCGCCCTTCTCACTTGCAATATACAAAGGGCTTCTGTGACTCAAGCAGGTCCTGGTGTTCATCTCCTGGGATTGCCCAACTTGCTGTGTAGTGAGTGATGTGGTTTTCATTCATTCCCTGAGGCAACCCTCTAGCTAGACCTACACACTTATATTTCCATTGTAGATCTTTGTGTGGAGATTTCAGGGTTCATCTGGTTCTCTTTGATGCTCTGGGTAGGTGTGAGCTGTAGGTGTGAGGTGCTGAATCTTAGATCTTCATGCTAACCTTTTGAACAGGTGAAAAAGCTTGGAGAAGTGCTGAGGGCTTGGTAGATCTACACAACTAGGCTGGTGCTGTCATCTGGTCCTGACATTCTCATCTGAACCACGTTTCACTCCCTGGCTTCCACAGGCTATACTAAACTATCACATATGACTTTCCAAAAGGGGTGTGTGTGGGGTGGGGGGGGCGTGAATCAAAGCAAGACTAGAATGCTAAGCACATGAACACATGAAAATAGAATTCTGTTAGCCATGTGTTCAACTTCATTTCCATAACACAAACTTCTGGAGAGTTTGGTAGGGAAGTTCCTTAGCTTGACCACGGTTATGCTTCTAGGCAATGGAATCAGCTGGTGTGTATGTTACGTTCAGGTTTTATCCAATACAGCCAGTCCTGATTTCTTGGAGCTGTTCTCTGCAGAGATCTTTCAGCAGCTCAGTGCTTTCTTCATGGAAGATCAACACCCCCCAGAGTAGTCTTCAGAAGACAGTAGTCTTCTAGGAATCCTAGGGGAGCAGTATAGCCTCCAGCTTAGAATCTCACCAAAATTTTCAAAAGACCAAACATTTCAGAAACTAGGAATGGTTGGAAACATCACCTTGGCAGTTTGAGGCTGTTCCAGTCCCCCTAAGGCAAGTCCTCTGAAAGTTTCTAGACAAAGCTCTGCCATGTTGAGTTGGGATGGGTTTAAGGTGGGTTTGGGGCATGGCATAAAATCAAAAAGGGAGAAAAAGTACAGTGCATTCCTTGCTGCTCAGGTAAGGGTCCGGCTCAGGCCCAGATACACCTTTCTGGCTGACCACATTCTGTGGAGGCAAAGTTGGAACATACTCCAAGGAATGATTCAAGATGAACCAGAGGGTCATATCTAACCCCACCTAAGCTCAGAAACCAATATTCTCCAACCAAAAGATCAAGAAAATTTTCAGTTTTCACAAGTTTATTTGTTTTCAAAATGTTATTGAGATGTTGGGGAGAAACAGCCAACATATACTTTTCCTTATTTCGTCACGACTGGCATTTTACCCACTCTCGATAGGATCTTTTTCTGGCTTTGGTCTAACTTGATCTCCTTGGCAGTCCCCCTCTGATGTTCTCAGTTGCTGCCTGGTGTTGTTCGAAGTCCACCAGGGCAGAGTTCATTGCCGCATCACAAGTGGGAGCGGTAACTGCGATTTGCTGTGGGAAAGGACAGATTTACAACAGGGACACTTGTTAAAACAGCCAGCAGCACCCTTGTCCCTAGGAACTCAGCCACTGGAACCCCAGCATCTCAGCCTGAGAATGCTGGTTCCAACTGAGGACTGCCTCTATGAAGGTGGCTGGGCGAGCATGTCCCTGAGTTTGACTGCTGTCCTCACCCTTCACTTACCATCATCGCCCCGTTTCCTACTCTTCAGGCTGCCCTTCCGGTATTTTCTCTTGCTGCCTCCTCTCTTGACACCCTTGTGAGGAGCTCGGTTTTTTCCCCTCCTCATGCCATGACTCTTTAGTTTGCGGCTGGTCGACATTGTAATTTCTGGCAAAATGAGGGGCTTTGCAAGGCCGGCAGGGTCAGGAGTCCATGTATTTAAGGTCTTAGCCATTGTGACTACAAAGGGGTGTGGCTTAGCAGCTGGGTGGGGCTCTCTTGTGATGTCACTAGCCTTTGCTACACCTTAGTCATACATATGAAATAAGGTGGCCTCTTCAGTGCAGCTCAAGTCTGGTCCTCAATTTTGTGACCTTCCCCTCTTTTAGGTCCAAGAAGGCTTTTCAACAGGTATTGAACAACTAAGTTCCCTCCCCTATACTAGGTCTAGAAAGTGTTTTACCAGTGGTCATTAAAGTCACCGAGTGTGGATTTTTGTGTGGGTGCATAAGTCTTGGAGTTTGCAGGCAGCAAATATATTTCCATAAACACTTGAGTCTAGGAGAGCTGATTCAGTATGACCAAAATATGAAGTTTTCTTCCCAGTCTTTGCACTTGATACCAGGGGCTGGGTAAGTTTTGGTCTTTTGTCTTGTATGTTTTGGGATCTTTGGCACTATCTCTGGCTTCTCTCTACCTGCTACAAACCAGTAGAACCAACCTCCCCCCCCCCCCCGCAGATATGACAAAGATCTCTCCAAAGGTTTCTACATGTCTTTTTGGGAGTTTGGGATGCAGAAATACTGTGATGGAGAGCTACAGGTCTTAAAGATTTGTCACAAAAATTTGCTCATGTAGAATATGTATGTCACATATTTCAGCACTAGGGAAATAGTCTGTAGACACAGCCTAGAGACAAAGCCCTGTGTGCACCAACTTTCAGCCCAGTGGATGAAACCTATTAAACCACTGACCAGGCATCTACACAAATCTGTGAATTCTGACAAGGTTGCTGAGTGGGCGATGGAGTGGATGAGAACTCTGTACCATGGCCTGAGAAAGGATTTTACAGTGACTCAGCCGTGGGAGGGAAAGGGATAGTTGAGATAGAGTACTAGACAAGGACCAAGTTTTGGAGATGGAGTGCATGGGAGAGGTGAGCATGGATGGTGTCAGGGAGTGAGTGGCCTATTTCTGTGTAATGCCTCAGAGTGGATGCTTGAGAGTAGGATCAGGCTCGGCTTTTGAATATGAGTTTGAAGGGCCTTTGTGACTTCTAAATAGAGAAACTGAGCAATGATTATTGAGTATGTGAGTCAGGAAGACTTATCCAACATTTTGTCCTTCCTTTATAACTCCAAGTCTAATAGGACAAATTTTAATAGGCATCAAAAGCTTTTTCTCCACCACCATTGTCCTCAGTCAAGAGATGAGCAAACACGTAGGAGGTTCTCAACAAAAGTTGGTTGCGTAGCAGAGAGAATGTAGGTGAACCCCCCACCCTGTATTTGATGTTTGCAGGTAAGAAGCTAAGATATTTGAGTGCCAGATTCCTTGAGTGGCTTAACTTCAAGTCAGTAGCCCATTGAGTCTCACCAAAGCATCCTTTTCACATTTTCAATGCCTACTGATGCACTTGAGGATGGTTTGGTACCTGATTTTCTCTCAACTCACATCACATTGTAAAACACCCCTTCCACACCAGCTAAAAATGACTCCTTAAGGATTTATTCATTGATTCCCTGGGGACTTTTATTCTCAGAGAGAAGTTGGAGCTGTATCAAACACTGCCCTTTATACTTCAAGCTCCTCTGTCCACTTCAGTCACTCTGCTTTTCCTTCTTAAAAGGCCCATGACAACACAGGTCTCTAAAGCTGGGGATTAGCAGCTCTGCTCATCACCACACACAGCTTGGTGGTAAATTATCCAACCACAGAATAGGGGTCTCAATGAGCCTTTGTGGAAACCATTTGAATAGAATTTAATTTTCTTAAGTCATCCTAGTCCCTCCATTTTGTCCTACAGTTCTAAGGCTTTGCCCACTTTTCACACACTCATTGCCCTCTGACATTTATTCAAAGTCTATGATCCCGTAACATTGCCCTTCAAATCAAGGCAATGAGTTATGCAAACGCCCATTTTGTGCCTGCATTGCCCTGTGGTGAGTTCAGTTGGTCTCAACAGAAAGGCAGCCAGTCTTGGTTCTGGTACTGACTTGAGTTAGGTCACTAGGTGGTCACCAAGATGAGCTGGTGGCAGTGGTGGTCCCCTTGTAGTTACCAGCTTGTTTCTCTTGCATAGGAAATGTCTCCCAACCGTGGGTCTCTTTCTTCCACCTTGCCTTATGCAGTGGGAGTCAGGTTTTATTTATTTATTTTTTTACGTGTTTTTAAAATTTCTGATTAACAAAAAGAAATAGTTTCTAGTAGTGGTTGGCAGAGAGGTGGAGGTATGTGTCCTTTGTTGAAGAGGAACTGTGGGTCCCTTGGAGTTGTTAGGTAGATCAACCTTGTCTCTTGAACTGGTTTGATGCACTGACCAAATAATGTTTTAATCTCCTATCGGGACAGCTAGGGTCACACTTGGGATTAGTTACCTCAAAATATTTTTAGAACAGGTAGCCCACCATAATGAGAAGGGCTTGGTGAGGACAGTGCTATACTCCAGAGCTCTGTGTTCACCTCTGTATTCCAGAGGAACTGGACCCTTGGTTTAAGATACTTCTTTGGGGCAAGGGTCCTGGAGACAAGATACGATATCTCTCTCCAACTCCCATCTTCCTAAAACCTGCTCTGCCCAACAGAAGTTGAGATCACGGGGGGGGGGATTGAGGAGTGGGGTGGGAGAGGAGCAACCAGATTTGAGAGCTGATGAAGAAACTAATAAAATTTTTCATTTTTAATTCTCCTTCAGAAACCCGAGCTGCAGAGATAAGTCAGAAAGCAAGTCACAGGCTAGGCAAGTGTTGGGCTGGAGGCCTAAGGGTTGGCTCTTAAACCACATCTCCTGGGGTGGACAGAGAAGGGGAAGGGTTGAACATCAGTCACTGTTAAGTTGCTTTTCCTGTCCCATTGGAATCTGAGACAAAGGCAATTTAGGACAGTGACCTCACCCCTGACCCTTCACAGGTTCAGAGGATGCCCCCACACTGTCAAGAGCCATCTGTTAACTCAGTCTGTTCACTGTCTCTTTTCCTGCCTCTGACATCTGATAAGTTTTATTTTGATGGGAAAACATGCACACGCACAACACACACACACACACACACACACACACACACACACTGGATGCCTCAACTGCTCAAAGTAGCTGAGGAATAGGAATAGCCTAGTAGACTTGCTGTTTCTTTTACACCTTTGCTTGCCCAGTGGTACTCAGCTTTTGTTCCTTTTGTTTCTGGTAGATGGAAGGAATGGATGGCTTCTGATAGTTATTGGAGAGGGATGGGGGGCGTGGAGGGGAAGAGGGAAGGAGAGAGGGGAGACAGGAGAGAGGGGAGAGAGAGAAGAGATTGTCATGGGTGAACTACATGTGCACTTTGGGCTTTAAGACAAGGTCACCCTGACCCTGTCCTTAGAAAGGACCAGCTGAAAGTGTTATTTCTATTGATTTTCTTGAGTTCCAATAGACACCTTCAGAGAGATGGATCTGCCCATCAAGAGAGAGAATGGGAAAGTTTCAGCCCTTACAAATGCTGGTGACTAAATCTGAGTCCCTCTCTGAAATTTAAGTCTTCCAGATGTTGACTTCAGCTGGGGAGTGGGGACCTTCTATCCTGTTCACATGTATACACTGTCTTGTGTACCACTGCTGATTTGTTCAAACACGCCATGGGCATGGGGACAGGCTGGGGAAGGTGAAAGCAGAACCAAGACCAGGGACTCAGGACAGATGGTGGTTTTCTGAGAGAAGAGGCACTTTATCTCAGAGCACTTCTATCATCAAGCTCTGGAAACACGTTGGAACACTTTGCTTCTATAGATGTTCTGCTCTTTCCATTTTTTAAAAATTCTTTCTGGTTCCTCTCCCATGTTTTTCTATGGAATTCTCTATGTCTTTCTAGAAACAATTGCTATGTTTTTAGTTACACAGATAGTGAGCAGCTAGGAGACAGGGACTCAGAATCTATGGGAGATTTTTCTGAGGATCTGAGCGCTGTTTGTTTTGGGGGCCACTTCTCAGAACACACTGTAGTTTCCTTCTGTTAGAGGCAAAATTCAGGCCACATACCGGGGTGCTGAAAAGCTGGACTTATATTTTGTGTGTGAACTAAATTATCTGGTCCCAGATGGTCTATAGGAATGAATATGTTTGAATCCATCTATCGATAAAGTAGACATTTGAGTTGGAGGTTTTCTAGAGAACATAACATGAAGGCTAGGATGAAGGTAACCTTGACAAAGATACCATGCCCAGAGTTCTTCATCCCTAGTCCAGGCTTCTTGACATGGGCCATGATACATAACTGAAATGTCTTTGTCTTTCCTTCCCATGCCCCAAGCGTTTTCCTTGCTTTATCTACTTTCTTAATGTTTCAAGAGCCATGTGTTGGGGGCTTTGCCTTCTAGAAGCCATCCCACTATCAGAAGGACATCACTTTGAGCTTCCAAAAGTGTTTGCCACTAAGAAGGTAAAGATCCAGAGGTTGCTACATAATCAGGCCAGTGCCTTCATAATTGGTTATATAAAGCATTGTGACCACCATGCTGTTGCTGGTGCACCACGCAAAGGAGGTACCAAATGGTCCCGTGACACTTAACAGCAAGGATGGATTCTAAGAAGTATCCTTAAGGGACCAAAAATATATCTTATAATGATTACTACTGGATTATTTTTAACATGAATGATACAACCATTCTGACCAGGCTTGTTTTGTATTTCTGACTTCCTTTACTGAATCTGTTCCCAGGGAGGTAAGAGAATCTGTTTGCTTGTAGCTACAGAAGGATGGAGCTGACACCATCACTGCCTATATATACTGATAGAATTCTTGTATGTGAAGATCTCAAAAATTATCTGTAGAAAAAGAACAAAGTAACCCTGATTGCCACTATGGTCATGGAACTCTACAGCTGTAAGCACAGAGGTGTAGTGACATTTTATCCCTGCCTTTCATGTCCCTGAGTTGGGAGAGCACCATGTAACTTATTTATAGGTAAGAATCAAACACATACCCAGTCATATTTAAATGTGGAAGTAGCTAGATTTTATTGTCAAGAAGTTGTCCAAGGACAGCTTTATTCTCCTTGGAGGACGTGTGAAGGGTGGTGCAGACTCTGCCACTAACAGAAAAGTGTTTCCTCCATAGATAACGTTTCTGCAATGGTGATCAGGATATTCCCCT